TTGGTCCCTAAATCCCACGAGTTTCCTAATTTAGAAGACTCCTTTCTGTTTGGCCCTTCTTTTATACAAGAGGTAAAATAAAGATACAAGGCTAGGAGATCTTTCTCTGATTTAGCTTTCCAAGTTACAAAAAGCCCTTTCAGACCGAGAGTAGTCCCTACAGGGCTACAGGTTTGTCCCAGGAAGTTTCTCAGCAAGCCCACATTCGTCATCATGGGGCAAAGTCAAGACCCTCAGGCAGTAGTAGAGGAGCCCATGCCAGAGGTGACTCATCAGGAAAAAGAAGACCCATACAGTCAAGTAAGTATTTTACCTCACATAATTCAAAACAGATATAACCTTGGACAAATGGGTGCTTCAGATTTTCAAAACGGGTTTACAACTCCCCCTCATTCGTTTCCTGTCCAGAGGTGCAGAGAAGTAAATCCAGAAATCCATCCTGGTCCCCACTCAGAATATCCTATTTCTGGGTTTCATGCTGAACATTATGGATATGACCTTGGGGGTTCCCTGAGACAAGTAGGAAAACAATTCATGCTCACTTAACTTCAGCTCGTTTGAAAAACAGATGGTCTCTAAGAGTAGTAGCAAAGACTATAGGGAGGTTTATAGCTTTAACACCGGGTTACAATGCTTCCCCCTTGCTTTGCAGATGGAGCCAGCTGTTTCTAGGAGACCAACTAAAATACAGTGGCCTGTGGGAGTCAAGGGTGGTCCTTCCCAAGAGTGTCAGAAAAGAGCTAAACGACATATTGGAGTGGGCAATTCCACTTCCTCGCCCCCTTTTGGAAAGTCCTTTTGAGTTAACCCTGATGACAGATGCTTCTGCCAAGGGATGGGGAGCGTTCTCTGCCCAGCGCGATAAGAGGAGTTTGGTCAGTTCAAGAAAGGCTTCTTCACATACATGTGCTAGAGTTGAGAGCAATAAGATTAGCCCTTCAAGGCTTTGTTCCATTGAACCCCCTAGGTGTGTCGGTAATGGTTCAATCAGACAACAGGACAGCAGTAGCTAACATCAACCACAGAGGTGGCACAAGTTCAAAAGGTCTTTGTATAGAGACTCTGCACTTATGGTATACAAACTCCAAAT